GATTGATAAGGAGCAGTGATCAAACCCGAAGGGCGGCCGTAAGCCCTCGCGTTCCGCCCTCCCACCACATGATTAAAAGCCGAGTACCACCAGCCCTTGGAGGGCCTCTTGGAGCCTCGTGGGGCCTCTTGGGGGCCTCTTGGGGGCCTCTTGGGGGCCTCTTGGGGGCCTCTTGGGGCCTCTTGGGGCCTCTTGGGGGCCTCTTGGGGGCCTCTTGGGGGCCTCTTGGGGCCGCTTGGGGGGCCTCTTGCCCTGACTCTTACTCCGACTCGTGCAGTTCGCCTTACTCTTACTCTGACTCTTACTCTCACCGTTACTCTTGCTCTGACTCTTCCTCCTCCTCCTCTTCCCTTCTTCCTCGTCCCCCTTGATCTCGCCTCCCAGCTAGGAGCTCTGGTGTTTCCTCGGTCGTGCTTCGTTTTCTTTTGGTCGTGTAGCGTTCCTGACAGTCCAAGACCAGCTCGTCGTCGCCAGTCGCCAGTCGCCTGTCGACCGCCCTCCAGACGCTGTCTCAGATGATGTGGCTCGCCGTGGATGGTCCGTCTGGGCATGGGCGTACGGTGCCGACGCTCGACCATGCGGACCTCGTCCTGGCTCAGAACCACCGCATCGCAGGTCTTTCGGAGGTCAATTGTTATGAGTTCGGCACGGTCTCGGTCAAGTACAGCGTGCTGTGGGGATCCCGAGATGGGGCCTGGCTCAAGGTGCTCAAGACGTACTGGAGTGTCCCAGAGCCGGAGTGCCAGCTGATCCTCGGGAGTTGGAACGGCATTTTCAGGCCGTGGCCGGACACGTTCTGGATCAGGACGGGGGGGTCCGAGCCCGAGATGGAGTGCTAGCGCTCTGCAGTACAAGTGCTTTTCAGCATGCGACATCCTGCGGTGCTTCTCAGCCTGCAGGGTTCGCAGCGTGCGGTTTGCAATGCATTCCTTTTCAGTATGCGAGTTCCTGCGGTGTTTCTCAGGTTGCAGGGCTCCGAGGCTCTTCCCTTCGATGCCAATGTTTTCAGACACCGTAGCTCCGTTCCGTAAACATCTTCCAAGAGCCGCTCGCAACTTTTTGCAGCTGGCGGTCTGCAGACGTAGTCTGTCTCAGCATGCGAGCTCCCGCACGCTTCGCCGGCTTTTGCTGCGCGGACAATTTTCTCACACACGTCAGCGCCGTTTGTAGGCGTCAGAAAAACATGTAGACATTCACGAAGGGCTCAGTCTGTATATCGTCACATCATTACATACGCAGTCGTCGAACACATCGGTGTACATTCAGCGCTTTGTCCTTCTAGCTGGGTTGCTTCGTGCTGAGGCTGAGGCTGATGCAGGCTGAGGCTGAGGCAGGCTGAGGCTGAGGCCGAGGCCGACGGCAGACTGAGGCTGAGGCTGAAGCAGGCTGAGGCTGAGGCAGAGGCAGGCTGAGGCTGAGGCTGAGGCAGGCTGATGCTGAGGCAGGCTGAGGCTGAGGCTGAGGCTGATGCAGGCTGAGGCTGAGGCAGGCTGAGGCTGAGGCCGAGGCTGAAGGCAGACTGATGCTGAGGCTGAAGCAGGCTGAGGCTGAGGCTGAGGCAGGCTGAGGCTGAGGCTGAGGCTGAGGCTGAGGCAGGCTGAGGCTGAGGCTGTGACTGCGACTGCCGTTGCCACTGCGACTGTCATCGCGAATGCGACTACGACTGCGAGAACAGCAGAATTCTACAACTGGATTCTCATCCGAATCTTAAGGGGAATGCTTCCAGATATGCTCCTACACATGGCTGTTAGGTTGCTTTGCCGGGATAATTTTTCCTGTAAAGCTTTTTACCTAACAGCGAAGACTGATCGGTTTCTAGTGGGATCAAAAGAGAGCAGCAGATCACTCCACAGGGGGTCCGGGCAGGTGTTGGGAGTTGCCGGGCGGCAGGTGCCGGGCTCGTTTTTCATTAACAGTCACACACTTCGTGCTCTTCGACTTCCCAGAACTCCATTCCCAGGCCACATTCTCAATACCCGGATGCAACAGTCACACACTTCGTGCTCTTCGAGATCCCAGAACGCCATTCCCGGGCCACATTTAGAATAACCGGATGCAACAGTCAAACACTTCGTGCTCTTCGACATCCCAGAACGCCATTCCCGGGCCACATTCTGGAGGGCCGGATGCAACAGTCAAACACTTCGTGCTCTTTGACTTCCCAGAACTCCATTCCCGGGCCACATTTTGGATGCCCGGAGCCAACTGTAGGCCACTTCGTGCTCTTCTATTTCCCAGAACTCCATTCCCGGGCCACATTTTGAATGCCCGGAGCCAACTGTAGGCCACTTCGTGCTCTTCGAGTTCCCAGAACTCCATTCCCGGGCCACATTTTGAATGCCCGGAGCCAACTGTAGGCCACTTCGTGCTCTTCGAGTTCCCAGAACTCCATTCCCGGGCCACATTTTGAATGCCCGTAGCCAACTGTAGGCAACTTCGTGCTCTTCGACTTCCCAGAACTCCCATTCCTGGGCCACATTTTCAGCAGGGGCAAGAGCACGACGAGGAGGAGGACGAGCAAGACCAGGAGGACGAGGACGAGCAGGAGCAGGACGAGGAGCAGGAGGAGCAGGAGAAGAAGGACGAGCAGGAGGAGGAGGAGGACGAGCAGGAAGAGGAGGACGAGCAGGAGGAGGAGGACGACCAGGAAGAGGAGGAGGAGGAGGAGGAGGAGGAGGGGGAGCAGTACCTTAGGAGGAGGAGGGAGGATGAGGAGGAGGATGGAGGGAGGAGGAGAGGAGAGTGATGGAGGAGAGGCGGAGGAGGAAGAAAAGAGGAGGGGAGAGGAGGAGGGAGGAGGGACGAGGAACGAGGAGGAGGAGGATGAGGGGGGTGGAGAGTACCAAGAGGAGGGAACGAGTACCACCAGAGGAGGAGGAAGGAGGGAGGAGGAGGAGGAGGAGGAGGAGGAGGAGGAGGAGGACGAGGAGGAGGAGGAGGAGAGAACACCAGGAGGAGGAGGACGAGCAAGACGAGGAGGACGAGAACGAGGACGACCAGGAAGAGGAGGAGGAGGAGGAGGAGGAGGGGAGGGGGAGGACTACCAGGAGGAGGAGGAGGAGGAGGAGGAGGAGGAGGAGGAGGAAGAGGAGGAGGAGGACGAGGAGGAGGAGGAGGAGGAGGACGAGGAGGAGGAGGGGGGGGGAGAGCACCAGGAGGAGGAGAACGAGGACCACCAGGAGGAGGAGGAGGAGGAGGAGGAGGAGGAGAGAGCACCAGGAGGAGGAGGGCGAGCAAGACGAGGAGGACGAGAACGAGGACGAGCAGGAGGAAGAGGAGCAGGAGGAGGAGGAGGAGGAGCAGGAGAAAGAGGAAGAGGAGGAGGCAGGCTGAGGCTGAGGCTGTGACTGCGACTGCCGTTGCCGTTGCGACTGTCATCGCGAATGCGACTACGACTGCGAGAACAGCAGAATTCGACAACTGGATTTTCATCTGAATCTTAAGGGGAATGCTTTCAGATATGCTTCTACACATCGCTGTTAGGTTGCTTTGCCGGGATAATGAACTTCTGGGGCCTCTTGGGGCCTCTTGGGCCTCCTGGGGGCCTCCTGGGTCCTCTTGGCGGCCTCTTGGCGGCATCTTGGGGCCTCTTGGGGGTCTCTTGGGGCCTCTCGGGGCCTCCTGGGGCCCACTTGGGGCGGAAGGCTTGAGTTTTCGGTTGGTGGTCCCCCTCTTGGGCCCCTCTTGGGGCCGTCTTGGGGCCGTCTTGGGCCGTCTTGGGCGCCTCTTGGGTCGTCTCGGGGCCCTCTTGGGCCCTCTTGGGGCCCTCTTGGAAGCCTCTTGGCCCGTCTTGGGGCGCTCTTGGGGGCCTCTTGGGCCCTCTTGGAGCATCGGATGGCCGAAAAGGCGACAAGGCCAAAATCCTTCCAAAACCATTGTACAATTTATGATTTTGGCCTCTCGGGCCCTCTTGTGAGGCCTCTTGGAGACCACTTGGAGGCCTCTTGGGCCGTCTTGGAGTCATCATCGGCGTCTTGGAGCGCTCTTTGGGCGTCTCGGGGGCCTCCTGAGCAGTCTTGGGGACCTCTTGGGTCAGGAGGGGGGGTAGTCGATTGCGCCTCTCCCCTCGGAGGCCACGATCCTCGTGCAGGGTGTCGAAAAATTGCCCGATCTGGCATCTCTGATCCGAGTGTCCCGGGGGTGTCCCGGGGGATGTCCCGTGGTACTTTTCGTCTGGGGACCCCCAGGGACGGTCCCGCGCGCGCGAAGTAGAATATTGTTAACCAGTTACCGGAGATCCTAGCACGCCCTTGGCCCGTTGGGCCGGCGAATTTGTCGCTCTTGTGCTTGCTGTTGGCAGTTGGTATAGCTCGAAGGATTGTGTGCGGCTCCTTCCCGAAGCGAGGCTTTTGCTTGAAGGGCCAGCCCGCGGGGCGCTCGCCTTTCGAAGGGTCGCTTCCGTGGTGGAGACACCGCTGTTGGTCATTACGATCGGTTCGTGTCGGGTCGACACGGTGGCGCTCCCAGCGCGCGCGCTCAAGGTCGAACGCCGCCATGGTCTCGAGTCCGTCGACGGTGAACGGTCTTCGCTATCGGAAGGCCTCGAGTGTTCGAGATCGAGCGGTCCACGCGGTGTCAAAATCCAGCGCGCAAGTCTTCGCGACCCAAACTCCCCGTAGCGAAGAGGGGACTCGGGACATGAGGTTGTCTTGGCGCATTGTTGAGGCATCTTGGGTTGAAGGTTGTCCTCATCCTTTTTCCTCGTCTTCCCGCAGGGCTGACAGGCAGTGGCGCTGGCTGTGAAGCTGGCGAAAACCACCGTGCAAAGTAAAACCGGAGAACAGTGCTTGTGGCAGTGCCCTACCCGAGGATTCGATGGGCTAGGGGGGTTTAGCGTCTGGTGCGGGGGACGGGCGGGGTTGTCCCCCTTGCCCCTCTCCACGCGTGGTTTCGATCACCCCAGGCGTTTTCCCATTTTCTGTGTCTCAGGTTCCGCGCCAAACGCAGTTTTCAACAAATCCTCCCTGGGTCCGAAGTGGCTGCTCCCTTGCGCTCCCGAGGGGAATGGCCCCCCTGCTGCGCCGCCTGATGCCGCGGGCCCCCCCGGTGGCTGCCGCCGAGTTCGCGCGGGCTATGTACTGGAGCGAGTCGCGGGCTTTCGAGGTCGCAGGCCCTGGCGGCTCCCGTGAGATGCTGTGCCCTTTCATGGACATCTTCAACCACAAGGCTCGGCGTCGTGTAGAAGGGGACGTGGGGAAGGGGGCGGCCTTCGAGAACATACCCGCCTGCCCCGAAGAGGCCTTCCTCCCCTGTGAGAGGCCTTGTCGGATCAGGATCCCGCAAAGGGTGTGTGTGTGTGTGTGTGTGTGTGTGTGCCCCTGTGTGTCTGTGAGAGTGAGTTCGATCGGTTTTTGCACCGAACCGCCCAAAACAGATGCCCCCCAGCCGCCGGCAACTCCCGATAGTTGCTGATAGGTGGCATGCGGGGGGCATCTGTTCGCAGCAGTTCGGTGCACCAGCGGATCGCACTCATGCCCTCCCTCAGGGTCACCCACCTTGTTGGTGGATCGAAGGCCCCACGAGAAAGGGTCTCCCGCCTTTCCTGTCTTCTTGGATTGGTCAGCCCCCCTTCGCCCCGCCCCTCTCAGCGCGCCGTCGGGAGGCGGCGGTGGTGCCGCGACAAGGCCCGAGCTATTCCCTCCCCTTTGCCAGCCAGCAGACGGGGAGGGGGAGGGAGAGGGGGAGGGGGAGGGGGAGGGGGAGACAGGACGGGGGACAGCATTGTCGAGGACACTCGGCGCCCAGTTGCTCAATGGCTACAGTTGGTCGCCCGCACTCCGCGGGCGCTCCGCTCCGGGTGGTGGCCCGCTTTTGGCGTGCGGCGTCTCCTATTTGGGCATGGGATCACTTCTGGGTCGTCGGCGCGGACCTGGGCGGGTGGGCATGGGCTTTTTTGGATTGCCAGGGGTCGTCGAAGCAGGTGGGCTGCCGAGCAAATGGCACTGCGGCTGGCAGAGCACAGTCAACCCGCATCGTGAGGATGAGCCAGCCACTTTGCAAAGCCACTCTTGCATACTCCCCCCTCGGCCCATCCTCAGCAGCTCTGGTCTGCCCCGCCCCGCCCGCAGGGCGTCGACGTGGCCTCCCAGGGCCCTTGCATCCTTCTCGTCGCGCGTGCTTTTTGTAGGGCTTGACTGTCACAGGGGAACCGAGGAGTCTGCGCGGGCGCCGAGGGGAAGGTTTTTCCCGGGCCTGTCCCTCTACAGGAGGAATATTCAAAGCTAGAGTGAGAAACAGTCCGGGGACGATTTCTGGAGTATTCTTTTACTATTGTGAATTTTCCGTCCAAAATCCCCCTGTAGAGGCACAGGCCCGACCTAAGGGAAGGTGGCACCCGCAGGCGGGCGGATCGGCACGCGGTGCGAGCAGCTCGCCACGACGCGGCGGGGCAGTAGGGAGGAGGGGGGGGCCGGCCGGCCCTCTTGGCTGATGCCTGGACTTCTGGCCCTTTTCCGCCTCCGCCTCGCCCCCTCCTCACCCCCTCCTCCCTTGCCCCTCACCTCCTCATCCTTCGCCTCCGCCTCCGCCTCCCTCCTCCTCCTCCTCCTCCTCCTCCTCCTCCTCCTCCTCCTCCTCCACACTTGCGCAATATGAATACTACTCTCCTCTCTCCCCTGGTCGCGTCCTGGCCTCGTTTCCGCGCTTTTGCTCGTTCTGAATCGTGCTCCCGCTGCAGCGCTGGCCTCATTTCCGCGCTTCCGCTCGTTCCGAGTCGTGCTCCCGTTGCAGCCCTGCCGTTATTATTTACAATGCCATGCCACGGCATCGTTTTCGGTCCTTCCAAACCGGCCCCAAAATCTAGAAGATGCCCCCCACCCCGAACAAGAACCATCGGAAGTGATTACACATTCGGTTCGTTGATTTTCGGGACCGCAGACCTCCCCCCACTTTGGGGAGTCGCCACGCCATGCTCTGTCAGGCTACGCGTCCTCATTTCGCTCTTCAGAGCTTGGGTTTCTTGTTTCAAAATGTTGCCCTCGCTGAAGCGCTGGCATCATTTTCGGACTACCGCTCGTTGCGAATCGTGCTCCCGCTGCAGCGCTGGCCTCATGTCCGCGCTTCCGCTCGTTCCGAATCGTGCTCCCGCTGCAGCGTTGGCGACATTTCCAGTGCCATGCCACGGCATGGTTTTCGGTCCTTCCAAATAGGCCCCAAAATCTGGAAGATGGGGTCCCGCAGAAATCATCGGAAGTGATTGCACATTCGGTGCCGATTCGTTGATTTTTTGTGCCGCAGAAGACCCCCCCTACTTTGGGGCGTCGCCACGCCATGCTATGTCATGCTACGACACCATGCTATGCCATGTATTGTTATGCCATGCTACGACATCCGATTGTGCGAATATAACGATCTACCTTCTGGTAAGGGATGGGAGGGAAGGGTAGGACGTTAGATATGACGCGAGCGCACCTAGCTTGTTCCCCCCCCCTCCCCCCCCCCTCGCCCTCACCCTCCGACTTCCTGCCCACCTCTCCCCCTTGAGGCCCGCTCCGATCCGGTCGATCCGACTCGACCTCGAGCTCGCTGGGCTCGATCCGCTCCGATCTCGGTCGGTTCCCCAGCGATCCTCAGGGGCAACGTTTGGGGGGGCGGAAAGCCTCAGGGGGGGATACATCGATCCCCACTCGCCCATTCACCGCCGATGGGCGCCCGAGAGCCCGCCTTGACAGCGAAACCGGGCCCACTCGCCGGTCCCTCGGCTATGCATCGCCGACTCGAGCTCGATGTTCCTCCCCCCCTGAGCTGGCCGCCCCCCAAGGTGGCCCCTCAGATCCGATGCGGCCCGATGCGTGCATGGCGCTGTTGTGCACCCTGGCGTGACAGATCCGATTTGACCTCGATTCCCCGCTGATGCAGCCCGATCCGACGCACGTTCTGATCCGATCCAATTTCCCGATTCGATGCTCACTGATCCTGCCGCTTCCTCGTCCTCCTTTGCCCTTACCCGATGTTCGCCTCGACCTGGGCCACGTGGGATCGGCAGAGCCATCAGCGCACCGGTGCGTGCTCGGGTCGGCAACACGTGGCACTGTCCCTTCGCCAGGGTGACTTTTGGTGCGTGGCTTTCGGGGGGACGGGGGGGACACACCCAAGCACGCAGGTCGCTGCAGGGGCATCGCGTGCGACGATCGACAAGCCTTGCGCCATGGTAGGGTCACCCTTGCGTGTAGCATCCCTCAGCGGACTGAGGGCGGTGTGGGGTAAGCTGTTACGACGTCGGGGCCGCCTGTCCCAGGGTGGCTGGAAAGTTAAACCCCTGCGGTGGCATCCTATTTCCCGACGATCCGATGCGGCTCGATGCGTGCATGGCGCTGTTGTGCATCCTGGCGTGTCTGATCCGATTTTATTTTTCACCCCGTGCCGATGCAGGCCGATCCGACGCACGTTTCGATCCGATCCGCCTTCCCTGTTCGATGCTCACTGATCCTGCCCTGATACCGTTCTGCGTACGCTGAGTTCCAGAGGGCGGATCCAAGGAGTATCGCGACGACGACGAGCGCGACGAACGACGACGACGATGAATGACGACAACGACGACCGACCGGCGACGAACGGCGACGGTGGCGGCCACGACGACGACGTCGACCGACCGACAGACCGACCGATGACGAACGGCGAAACCGGCGACCGCGACAACGACCCTTTGATTTGGGTGAGCAATCCGCCGATGATGATGATGATGCCGCTGCTGCTGCTGCTGCTGATGATGATGATGATTCTTATCACGGTGCTGCTGAGAATGATGATGGTGATAATTTTGATACTGGTGATGCTGATGATGCTCATTATGATGCTGCTGCTGATGATGACGATGCTGTTGATGATGATGGTGATGATGCTTATGATGATTCTGATGATGCTGATGATGATTCTGATGATGATGCTGGTAATGGTGATGATGATGCTGATGATGCTGACTATGATGATCGTGTGGATGATGATGCTGATTATGATGATGTGGATGATGCCGCTGATGCTGACGCTGATGATGATGCTTATGCTGATGATGATGAGGATGATGATGATGATTATGATGCTGTTTATGATGATGATGATGCTGATACTGATGATGCTGCTGATGATGCTGATGCTGATGCTGATTAGGATGATGGTGGTGGTGGTGATGATGGTGATGGTGATGCTGGTGATGATGATGCTGATGCTGATGCTGGTGCTGATGATGATGCTGGTGCTGATGATGCTGCTGCTGCTGATGCTGATGACTATGACTATGACGATGCTGATGATGATGACGATGATGATGATGATGCTGATGCTGATGCTGATGCTGATGCTGATGCTGGTGCTGCTGCTGCTGCTGCTGCTGATGATGATGATGATGATGATGATGATGATGATGATGATGATGATGATGATGATGATGATGAGTATGATGCTGAGTGTGGTGGTGATGATGATGATGATGATGATGATGATGATGATGATGACGATGCTGCTGCTGCTGCTGCTGATGATGATGATGATGATGATGATGCTGATGTATGCGTTGTTGCTGCTAGGGCGACTCCCGCCCTGTGGCGTGCAGAATAGGCAGGCCCGAGGGACTGCTACCCCTGCTGCAGTCTTGGATGCTGAGCGTGTTGGGCCATCCAAAACGGACGCCCACGCGAGTTGGGTCGATCATGGAAGCGTAGGAGCAAAATGGGGGACAGTCGTTGTCGTTCGAGGAGGAGGAGGAGGAGGAGGAGGAGGAGGATGGATGATGGATGAGGGAGAAGGATGATGAATCTGAGGATGAGGAGGATCAGGATGATTATTATGATGATGCTGATTATGCTGGTTATAATGGGGATGGCGATGACGATGACGATGACGATGGCGATGGCGATGATGATGACGATGATGATGATGATGATGATGATGATGATGATGATGAGGATGATGGTGCTGATGGTGATGATGTTGCTGATGATGCGGATGATGCTGATGCTGATGTCGATGCTGAGAATGATATGGATGATGTGAATGATGATTCTGACGCTGATGATGATTACGTTGTTGATGATTATGATTATGATTATGAGGATGCAGATGGTGATGATGACGATGATGCTGCTGATGCTGCTGATGCTGATGATGCTGATGATTGATGATGTTGCTGATGATGATAATGCTGTTGATGATGATGACGCTGACGATGATGCTGATGATGGGTGATGATTTTGCTGTGAGTGATGATGATGCTGATGATGATGCTGATGATGGATGATGCTGCTGCTGATGCTGATGCTGCTGATGATGCTGTTAATGATGCTAATGCTGCTGATGATGATAATGCTGATGATGGTTGTGGTGGTGGTGGCGATGCTGCTGCTGCTGATGATGAAGATGATGCTGCTGATGCTGTTGATAATGATGATGCTGTTGATGATGATGATCTTGATGATGATGCTGAAGATGATGATGCTGTTGATGATGAATATAATGCTGAGGATCATGATGACGATGATGATGATGATGATGATGATGACGCTGATGATGATGATGATGATGATGATGATGATGATGATGATGATGATGCTGATGATGCTGATGATGCTGATGATGCTGATGCTGATGCGGATGCTGCTGCTGCTGATGATGATGATGATGATGCTGCTGA